TTGAGCTCACAACCTTCAGACAACCAGGTAAAGAGTTTAGCTTTTAATAGTGATGACACCCCAGTTGACTAGAATTTTATCACCTAATGGGACTGTTTAAAACCAATGTTTGTCGCTGGTCTTTCAAGCTGGTTAAATATCAAGGCCAAGCACGTTGTTTAACCAGACTTGAACTCCGTGCCCAAATTCTTGAACTCTGTGCCCAAATTCTTGTCGGTAATCCTTAAAACGGACGACATTGTGAAAAAGGTAATCAGCTCATTGACAACATGATGATGGATGAAACTACGGCTGTAGCAGAAAGGTTGATTTAGGTTGACAACAGAACAGTCGAAGCCATTACTAGGTAGGGAGGCGTTGGCACATTGATGAAAGATGGAACAAGAAATTGGTATTTCGGAGAAGAAATGAAATTCCTCATGTTATAGATGGGACGCAAATAACGGTATTATTCTCAATATGTAGGTCGTTGGTCACTACCCCGATGCCGGATGGTTGCGAACTGTATGTAGCTACATCACGGGTAAGGCTGATGGGATGAGTTAGAAAGACAAGGTCAGTCCAGTCTTGGAGTTTGGTGCTGTCACAGCAGAAGATGCTGCCTGGCTACAAAAAGATGATCTTTCCCATATGAATATAGCTGAACTGGAATCAATTATCAAAGACATCAGTTTGACTTTGCAATGTGGATTACAAGAGATTGAGTCGAAGGTCTCTGTGGCTTCTTGGATTCTTCTATAGAGAGGAGAGTGCGAACGAAAGGAAATGCAGAGATGTTCGTAAGGGACGCATAGGGAACTAATCAAAGATTTCAATCTCGAAATGAGTGTCAGTTTTGTCCCATCAGAGATGACCAAGGCAGACATGACTATGAGGGTGAGGCAAAAATGGCTAAAAATGCATGATGAGTTGGTAAATACAATCGCTTTTATATGTAGTCCAGGAAATGCAGAATTAAAAAATCTGCCTTATATGCACCATTTTGGAGTGGTCAGAAATGTGGAGAAAAATGGTGCCGGATTTCAGGAAGAAATATTCCTGAAAAAAGGGTTGTTAGATGAAGTGTTAAGGACAACAACTTTATATTTATTTCAGTGTTCAGAAAAGAGATTTTATTGATAAGTGGGGGAGTTACACATTTTTCAAAGCACTCTATAGGCACAGTGGCAACGAAATTGTCGAAAGACATCAACGAATAATTAAGGACACGGTAGAAAGGAGCCATATTTCACCAATGGTAATATTTTGACAGGAAGAATCAGTGCCACAAAGAGCAGTGTTTAAATATGAATGGCGGCACTCACAAGCTACACCCAAGGAATATTGCAAATGAAGAACAAGCGTGTGTGCAATTAGGCGAAGTTCTGTGGATCAAACAACCTGATTCTCGATGTACTACTCAACAAGGCAATAGGATTATAACGAGCATAGAGTTTGAAAATAATGTAGATGCTGATGGTGTTTCCCAACATATCTTGGATGCGAAATGGGTTCCAAGTCATCCAGTGATGAAAACCAAAAGGATAAACACCAAACTAGGACCCTGTAAATATCATGCTAAGAAAGGCGTCCACTTGATTCGATGTACGATTATGTGGTTAATTAGTGATTGATCGATGTTTGGGGGCCGTATGGTTGAGGAGAAAAAAAATTTACTGCCCTGCTCTGGGCTCAACATCCAGTCAACCAGGTAGACTTCATCTTTTAATGAAGATATCACCCCTGTTTACTGGAATAAGATTACCCAGTGGGGCTCTTTAAAAGCCGAAGCTTTTTTTTGTTCAGACACTTATTTGTCCGTTACATCTTTGCTATTCAAGACTTTTGCCAGTCGGTCGATTACTGAGAAAGTCAAGCGGAGAGTGAAAGAGAAGAAAAAAGACTAGTGAATCAAAAGAAACAGAGAATATAAGAGCAAATTACTGCTTAATTTAAACTGGTTCGTCGTTAACATCTTTGTCTGTTTAACAATGTTTTAGTTTATAAAATTATATTATGGGATGTCATAAATTCCTTAAGACGTTAACGACGAAACTTTACAGCTGGTCTGTGAGATTTAAATCGCGCTTGAGTCCTTAAATTTCATATTCTCTCTTGCTCTATAGTTTAATCTATATTATTACATTAGGCACATTTTAGCTCGCGATATTGTTCCAATAGTGTTGCTATATACATTGAGTTATATATTAATGGTGTAACAAGGTAAAAGAAAATCACGTGATGCAGATAATGTGTAGTTATATTTAAATTGGATAGAATATTTTTCTTGGGCAGCCCTAACTGTCGCTAACTATGAGAATTTAATAGCTGGTCTGTGAGTTTGAAATCACTTTTTTATGTCTTGTATATAATTTAATATTCAGTTTTGCTCAGTCATTTATATATATATATATATATATATATATATATATATATATATATATATATATATATATATATATTTCAACTTCCTTTTATTGTACATTTTTCTATGTTAATTTTTCAACTTCCTTTTATTGTACATTTTTATGTGTTAATTTTAAATTAAATCTCCCGTTGAAGCCTGAAGAGCGGGAGCGAAACCGGTTGCTTCGCCCGTTTTTAATATGTCTCGTAATATTAAGTTTTATACTTTTATTTCGATCATTAAATTTTGTACCTACAAAAATATATTTAAATATATATATATATATATATATTATATACGAACACATACAAATGCAGACATAGAAAGGAATAAACAAAGGACAAATAACTGAGTCAAAAAGTTAAGACAACACTATAAAATAGCCATAAAACTGCATTTAGATTCGCATTTATTACTAGAGTTATTTGAAACACCCGCCCACTCAATAACCGATAGAATAATACAATGTACCATTGACCAGCATATATAAATAGCCGTGTCAAAACACAACACACACTACCTGATGATTGTGTTTACGCATGAAACTGACTGTCACCGCTGGGTGTTGTCCTCACTATCCACTTTTACATATGCTATATCCCTGACACTGAGCCCTTTAACCTATTAATATGGCATATCTTAAAGCTATATTTTTTATTCACACACACACACACACACACACACACACACACACACACATATACATATATATATATATATATGAGAGATATTAATCTTCTTTCATTAATATTGCTCTGTCGGCTTAGTAATTTAACTTCTCATCTCTTTCTGTTAGCGTGAATTTTAACAGATAGTTATTTACTAAGCAAAGCTTAGTCTTTGATTTTTGGTCCGTAGCCACAATACGGGTATCCGATGAGAATCTAATTCTTTAATCCTGACTTGCAAGACCAGCTTGCTTGCCTTAATACAACGACGAGGTGTCATAATTTCAGAAATCTACTCTTTTGTGTAATGGGAATGTACCCCACGGAGTTCGAAAATGAAACTAGTCTTATCTCCAAAGCTTATTGAATAAAAAAAAAGCCGCCTATTCAATGAACTACTTTAATTATACCACTTGCGTTGACAGCATGCCGTGTCCTCATAGCATCACAAGGATATAGATTCTATGATTGTTTTTATTTACTCAAGCGCCAAGATTTCTTCTATTAATGATTTTCTACCAATCAGCTTCACTCATGAAATTGGAAACTCTTCAATCTGGTTGTTATCAGAATGTTTCCTAAAGAATTGGTGGATTTTTATTTTTTAATCCGATTTATTTTTATTACTTCAAACGATATTTTAGTGGAAACCCGCATTTGAGTTATTAAACGGTGTGTATTTTATCTATCGGTCTGCGTACTTGGAAAAAAGGTCGCTTCCGCAGGATTCGAGCCTGCATCCCCACTTTGCAGTAGGAACCGCTCGGCTAGGAAAAGCGTCATAATAAATATGAATGAGTATGCTTTAAAGGCAAAAATAGAAACTTGCTTATCGTGAAGCTCTTCGTAGCCGAGCGGTAAAAGCACGTCAGATAAGACGGTGGTTCATTCTGAAAAGGGGCACGCAGTCTTGAATCCTGCCGGAGGGAACATTTTTTTTCTAAGTTTTTTCGAGTACGCAGTTCAGTAGAAAAATAAATGTTGTTTAAAATAAACGGAGCGTCTACTTAAATACGGGTATCCGTTAATAAATTAATAAGACTATATAAAAATTACTCGTAACTTTTGGAAAGGTTAGCAGTTAGAATTGGGAATGATTGATTACTTGGAAAATGAGAAGTGAAATTGTGAAGTAGATACCAGTTTTGTTTTTCTCTCTTTGCCCGCCGTCAGAAGCGTGTAAATTATTTTTTAAGCCACTGAAAGTACGCTCGCTGTATGAAGTAGGCTAACACATTATTTTTCGAATCCTAAACATCATTAATTTAGATTAAGTATATAAATTCTACAAAATATTTGCTTATTCTAAGTCACACACCTTTCTGGATTCTGTCAAGGTTGGTAATGTAGGTAACAGCTCTTTCACTTCTATCTGGGCGGTAAGGTAATTATGAGAGTTTTTCCGGATTATTCATGCTGTCTTATGTTAATCCCCATGACGTGTTATCTTTTGCTTTGATCTAAGAATTATTAAGTAAAATAATTATCAACTATCAATGTCCATAAGTTCAATCATTCACGATTGTCTATATTCTAATAGACAGATAGATATTCATGTTCCAATGGTGATGGTATGTGGCACAAGATCCGAGCTTAATATTGGAACCCATCGGAGTACACGTGAAAAGTCACAAAAGCTTGTCTTGTTTTCTCGGCACTTATCTTTCGGACGCCTTCATTGAGTGCAATGGGGAGGTGATATCTGGGGTGACAGTCCCACCTGTAAGTAGATATTTGCTTCTTTTTACTTCTGGAGCAAAAAAGGAAAAATAGAGAGATTATAATGTGAAAGCCACTCCTAAGAAGATATCCAATCAGGTGGCAATGAATCTCACCTTCTCCCGTGTCTTGCCTACCACCGCCAAATTATAACAGTAGCCGCCACGTCAGTTAATATGACCAACCGGAAAAAAACCGTCAAACTAGTTGAGTGAGTTGGGCGGTTTATGAGAGCACTAAGTCAGAGACGCCCCAAAAAAAGCCAGGTCGTCGTGTTGTGTTCATATTTTCCCTGCATTGTCAGTTGAATGTAGTCTGTCGTGTGTGTAACATCAGGTAAACACGCATCAGCTAACTGCTTATATGAAGAGTTACCTTCCTGGTTTATCAAGAACAGGAGAGAGTGAGATACCTACAAAGAAAGAGGAGTCTAATAAGGATACTGACTGTTACTGACATTTATTTGGTACGATTACATTTTATTAATACCTTTGCATTATCTACGTTTCTTTTGATTATTGTTATATTGTTTCAGCAGCTGTTCTCACTGCCTATTAGATATTAACATTTTTTTTTCAAATTGAACCAATGAAATTGTTGCTGTTTTAAACGTTTGGATTGCTTTACGAAGCGATATTTTCTGTCACAACTTGTCCCGAAATGTTTTTATTTTTCGATACCTTTACGATGACACCATCGTCCTTTTTTCTTTTTTTTTTTTTTGATGGCGTCTTTCTATAATACCATGCATATGCAAAATCGCGGAAGACTTTGTGTTAAAATATTTTCACTTTGAGTAGTCTCCTTTTCGCATCGAATTTGGTAAATCCCAGCATAGAAAACGGTTAATCAATGATTTAATTACAGATGCTTTTGGAAAATTACGCTGTTCTTCATGATCCAATTTTTCAGACCTCCGTTGAAATGCCTGTTTTTTTTTTCTTTTTTAAAATTATTTAAATTTTAATATTTTCATCGTAGAAAAATCGAATAAATTTAATCAAGGGCCGTAGTGGTTTTAGTTTGTGCAACTGACGCGATTACAAAATAATTGACCATTTAATAAAAAAAATGCTTTTGCTATACTTTTTAAGGAAAAAAAGATTATTAATTTCATTTAGTCACTGCATCGTATGGAGCAAACTGACGTGTGTGCATTTGTGCTAAAGATTTTACTGTTTTCCACCTCCTTTATCAGATTACATTGTAGTTTATGTACATAATGTTTTGTATATATAACCTCATTTGGAATAATGCTTTTTCACTGTGATCAATGCCTTCATAGATGTGTTGTTAAGAAGATTCAAAATTATATGATAAAACATCACCACCAAATCGATAAATCTTGTCAACTTTCTTTTGTCATACATGTCATAGACGGTCAAAATTGGTGACTTCAGTTATTCTATTTAGCATTGGAATTCATACGCAAGCTGTGAATGATCAAATGTCAGATGAAGATCTCAGCTCAAAGAACTGGCCATGAATAAGAATATTTATAAATGATACGTTTTCATTTACATTATTTACATTGTTCGGGCTGATGTTTTCATTTAGCTTATTGAAATATATCAGATTTAGTTTTTTAATTTTTTTTTAATATTTGCGAATTTTGGCTTCGTTCTATAATCGACTTTCAGCATGTTCATGGTTACCTATCTTAAGCTTGAGTTTGTCATTATTCCATTTTGATAAAGCAATATAGCAGTTGATTGAAATGTGATAATTCGGAAATTAAACAGTGAAGTTTTGGTGTTTCGTCCACAGAATTTGAGCAAGCGAGTTGTTTTCAATTCTTCCATATCATTCGCTTTAGCTTTTGACGGTAATATTTTTTATCGTTTTCAATTTAACGTTTATCGCTTTCTCTTCGTTGTCTATGATATTTTTCCCTTTTCCAACCGGCATAGTTTCTTACAACATGTTTTCTGTTTTTTTTTTTTTAAAGGGTGGCGGTGTATTTTCTTCGGCATTGATTTTAGTTTAAATTTCTCTTTCTAAATGGAGTGAAATTTGTCAAAATTGTACAGTTAGCAACGTCGAAGTTAAAATCTTTTAATTTCAATGATTTTACTTAAGAGTTTTAATCGCATTTAATACTGCTTTTCTTCGATGTTAAAGTCTGCTTTGAAAACTTTATATCTCTAAGACTTAAGTTTTCTAATAATACTAGTTTTAGACATCTTCTTCAGGACGTTGATAATCATACCTCTCCACGGATTCCTTTTCTTTATCACTGAATTAACATAACTTTTCAGGAAAGTTTTTGAGTAGTCTCCTGTTATATTCGTTACAATTGTTAAATTCAGTTCTCTGTTTGTCACTCTGAAGCTGAAAATCCCCGCCTACTTTCCTATTTAACCCATAGCTGGGATCAGAAGAAATGAATTCATGATTTTTTTCCCAGGGCATTAGTGCGAGAGTGAAAATCCCAGAACTTGAACTCAACTTTCCGATTTCACTTTCAGTGCTGATAACTGTTATGTTACCCGCAGTAAACGTAATAGTGAAAGCATTAAACAACAATATGACGTGGGGGTAAACCTGGATGAGAATAACTAAATATGAATGACCTATGTTGATTAGCTTTCGTAACTTAATTGTTAAAGAGCTCTCCTGGTTTAACAGGTTATAATGGATAGAACTTCGAATTTGGTCAGCTTTTTTTTTCCATCTGTGTACCTCATTAGTCTACCTCATTAAATGTAAAAAGTAGTTCAAGAGTTGGGATATAAGAATTCAAGACTATTTTAAAGAAAACTAATTTTTAAGGAAATAAATATATATTTTTGAGGCTACAAAATGTAATCATCGCATTAAAAAACACATTAAAATAGCAAAAAAGAAAATGTGGTTTCTTCTATGTGTATATGTAGGGGAACTATACAGAATCTGACAACGGTTTCCCCTACAAAGAGGGATACTGGCTTGAACTCGGCAGAAGAGCAAACATTTTTTAAGTCACACGAATGCAAAAACCAGTAGACATATTTTACACTGTTTGAAATGAAAAAGAATGTCTACTGAAGCAAGGAGTAACCGCTATATATATATATATATATAAATATATATATATATATATATATATATATATATATATATATATAATTACCATAAAGAGATGGATCGAAATAAACTATTTTACAATGTGTTTTGCTTACTGGTGTAGTTTGTAAATAAATCGTTTTCATCCAACGTTGCAAACAAAACGTCTTCTCCCTTTGAGTGAATGTTCAATAGTTTTACTTTTCCTCGTGTAATGATAATCATACCTGAAATAGTAGACTACATTCATTTTAGGGTGATGAATAGTTTTTGGCTCATAAAAGAATGACAAAGAGAGCTATACGCCCAGGGCTTCACACGTTTGCGCCACTGTTCAACTCATTTGGTACATGGCTTTCCAAGTTTCTTTAACCCAGTTAGAAATACCTTCAGTTTGGCTGAACCAGTTCACTGAGAGTGTTCCAAAATATCTCGTTGTGACTCTTAAATCGTCTTGGCTGCCTCATCCTTCAAACAAAAAAATGATGCACCAGCTCATGAACAGATTCACCTTATTGGTTAATTTCAGGCAATCGGCAAAGAAATCTGTGGCACTGAATAGAATATTTACTGTATCCTATGTTCATTTACCAAAATAAAATGTGTACAGGCTAACACCTCCAATAAATTAAAGTTAGAATCCATGCCAATTGTGTTTACATGCTTCTCCTTCTGTTGTCTTTTCTTCTTCTTCTTTTGTTTCTTTTTCTTCTTCTGCTGTCTTTTCTACTTCACCACGTCATTTCTCGAAATTATAGGGTAAGAGAAAATTCTGATATTAAGTAATACCCACTTGAAATAAGTGCCGCACAATGCAAGGTTTACCCTCTTTAGAACACACTACCAGGGTGTTAATATGCTTGTCTCTACCTTTTTTGATTGCATCCAGGGCTCGAATTATTATAGGTATAACAGTAGTTTTAAGATGTCATTTTTTTCAGCTTCTATTTCAATATCATTATATTTAGTTGGCATATATTTATAGAGAGATTTACTATTAACTAATAGTAATGTCATATTTATGTGAAGGCAATTTCTGTTTGCAAGCTTTTATCTCAATGTCTGGTATTTTTAGTTTTTATAAATTTTAGTGAGCTTGAATAAATGGATGGCGGAACAATTAAGAGCTACGAAGTACAGTAAATTTTTGAGAGCTGATAGCTATGATTATCTGTTCTGAAAGGAAACTGCTCATAAAATCAGTATAAAGAATAATGATTTTATGGCCTTCCATAACTGGTTCAGGAATATGTTGATACCATTTTTCAGCATGTGACACACGATAATATTGACGTACGTTTCAATGACTATACTACGAAATCTTATGTCGATCTTTCAGAAAGTTAAGACTGGGCTGTATAGTAATTGGAAGATTATTATTATTATTATTGGAGCTGAGTGATGATTTAACATAAAACCAAGTTCGAATTCGTTCATGTGTATCCGTGTTCATTTAGTATAAATGCATTTTGGAAAGACAGGAATATAAATATTTATAGTTTCATTACCGGACATCTTGAGAAAAATATCTTGTCACTTGCATGGCGTAATAGATGACAGATTAGATATTTGCTGAATGAGCATTTTGTCAATCCGTTCTCATAATTACCTTCCTGCTCAGGTCGTAGTACCAGGAAAGTTTTTACACATATTGTCAACCCTGACAACGGCTATCCATTATAATATTGTTCTTTGCATTTTCACTTGAAAGACTATTTTCAACTTTTTAAAAACGGTTTCAATATATGCATCATTTTTGGAGTAAGATAATAGAATTGGCAAACCATTTCATTTAGACGAAGAGCATTTTGAAAACAATGTATTATAATTATTATTAATGGAAATGTGATCCTCTCCGACTCTTATGTTTTGGTCGGGTGAGGATGGGTATATATCTACCAGCAGCTTAAACGCTCAACACTTTCTTGATCATATGCGCTGTTGCAAGCAACGCTGCAACTTGCGCACTCCCAATGATGTCCGATATCCTCAAGAGACATTTCGAGGCAGAACGATTACTATTTTTATTATTATTATTTCAGATGATGATAATGTCTTTATTCGTTTTCTTTAATCTTCTGTCGCAATAAAGTGTACGAGATACAAGTTAATTCGACTACCATCATCATAAACTTCATCTTAATTTTCCTTTATATCCATTCGCAATCTATGTCTCTAGGCATATATGTCTCTATCACATTCTGTTCCCATCTATCTATCTGACGCCTTTTCCCCCACTCAGGGGCGTCGAGAAGAGATCAGAGCCAGGTTGTCGGCCTTTCTACGGCATGGGAATATATTTTTGCAGAGTGCAGATTCTAACCTTTTGGCCTACACTGTCTTTACTTTCTACAAGCAAAACCTGTTACTGCTACTATTGTTGTGATGTAGGGCTTCAGTCACGTGTCATTACGTAACACG